AGTGGTGGGCGAAGACGCGAGCGCGGTCGCAGTGGTGGGCGAAGACGCGGGCGCGGTCGCAGTGGTGGGCGAAGACGCGGGCGCGGGCGCGGGCTTGCGGGGCGCGGGCGCGGGCTTGCGGGGCGCGGGCGCGGGCTTGCGGGGCGCGGGCGCGGGCTTGCGGGGCGCGGGCGCGGGCTTGCGGGGCGCGGGCGCGGGCGCGGGCAGGACTTTGACACCCTTCCGAATCGGGCGGTAGGACTTGCGATCCTCGCGGATGCGGAGGAACCAGCCGTGTTCCTCCTCCGGGGTGGGCATGGCTAGCCACCACCTCTTGGAGGAACCGAGGACGGTGATGCACTCAGTGTCGGGGCCGGCGTAGAAGACGACGGCGGCGGCCAACGCGCGCGCCTGCTTGCGGTCCCACTTCGCGTACGCGGGGTAGGAGCGGATGTGAGGGAAGGGCGACGAGGGGAGGCTCTTGCAGCCGGGCGCGATCTCGAAGTCTTCTTCCGCGAGCCATGTGAGGATGTAGTCGATCGCGCCCTGGGCGACGATCTCGGTGGTCTTGGGGAGGTCCGCGATGACGCGAAACCCGACGCCCAGGAACCACCCGACGAAGCCAACGCGTGGCACTGTCGAAAGCCTCGCGCTCAGCCGATGGGGTAGGTGGAAATGCAGGAAGGGAGGGAGGACTTACGGATTAGAGCGCCGTCCCCTCGGATGCCGTACATGGTGCATGAGTTGCCCGAGAAATCGGAGGAGCACTGCTTGCATGCACCAATGCCGTTGCCCAAGCATCTGGTGCCGCAGTCGATGCAGTCGTCGCACTGTATATACAGAGTGAGCAGCGCGGGGGTATGAGAAGAGTGGCGTACCTTGGACTGCAATGTCCAGCGAATACTCCCGCACCGTGGCGTGGCGTGGTTGCTGATCTGCGCCGTCTTGGTGCCCTCAGGGACTTTCATAGGGGCGACATCAAGCGGGCAGGAGGGTGGAGTGGTGAGTGCGGCGGATGTCGAGGAGGAGGAAGCCATAGGGAAAACGTTGCGCGAGGTTGGCAGGGAGTAGGTGGCGGGTATAGTGAGGCGGAGGAGCGAGTCGGTGGTGGTGGTGGTGGTTGGGAATAGAGGAAGACGCGACGCATGAGAAGCGAGACGCGGAGCGCTAGGCGAATTCAGCGCACGAAACGAAACGCCTCGGTCACGAGATCGCGTGAACTCGTGCCGACAAATGTACACGTGCCGTCATGTGACTGCCATCCATATGGCGAAGTGTACTGGCATGCGCGGATCCCTGCGCGCGCATTGATGATTCAACGCATGCGTGAGCCAATGTTTGAGCCTTTGGTTCGACGCACGGATGTCCGCGCGATGTTGTGACAGTGCCTGGTTTGTGGTTCAACGTGCGGGTATCCGCGCGTGCGACGAATATCCGCGCGCAACGATGATTCGACGCGCGGATGTCCGCGCACATTATTGTGCCTATTATATCATGGATCGACACGCGCTAATCGACGCGCGCATCGAAATTTCACTGTGTTTACATATCTGCGTCGACGCCGATGGCTCAAAGCACATGCGTGCACATGCATTGACGATGAGCGGCACAAACACTAAAATACGCAGATTCGTCCCTAGTCCGTATACCGTATAGATATGCGGGTAGATGCTCCCAGTCTCCGACGCAACATCCCTTTGTTCCAGTGCGGCCGACGAAGCACACGCTTCGACCTCAGGAAAATCACGCCGCCTTTCTCGGCACTTTGAACTCAATCCCGCACGTAGCACACGCCATTATACGTGCACGATAGAGCTTGTTACAAGAAAAACCAAGAATGCATTTGTGAGCCACACGACATATCGAACAACATCATATAAAAGTACGTCAAGAAACACCCCCCGGGTCATGCGCGGCATGGGTGTGGGGACGGAGATGGTCCGGTGGAGGGGACGCGTAGCGACGAGTGGGGCGCGGAGACACGGATGCAAGCGCAGGGAGACGGAAGCGGGGACGATGGAGGCGGGGAGCGGGGACGAAGGAGCGGACGCACGACGCATATACGCCTCGTCGGACGGAGTGTCGACCAGGGACGCGTGGGGCGCGTTGTTGTCCACCCACTGAGCCAGCTCCGAGGAGGTCTTCGCGAGGCTTGATGCGTGGTAAGCCACCTTATGCGTGATTTCATTGAACTGCGCCCAGCGGACAGCGTCCCCACCAGCGTGGACGGTGCGGGCGGCGGCGGCAAACTGCTCTAGGTTGAGCCCTGGCAAGAGCGAGAGGTCGGGGAGAGTGGGGGTATGAACGATCCTCGGCGGACCTGGATGAGCGCGCGGACTTCCTGGAGCGGGAGTCGTCGCGGTCGTCAGGGTCATCGAGCTTGCGCTTGCGCTTGGTGGATGGAGGTGCGGGGGAGGCGCGGACCCAGGTGGACATGGGCATGGGGGGCGCGCTTAGGGCGCGCGGAGGTGGATGCGCGCGAAGAGGTCGAGATGGACGCCGAAGTCGAGACAGACCGCTGTTCACCGTGGAGCGTACTGCGCGAGACCGAGCGCGACGACGCGGTGAGTGAAGTGCGCTGTCGGCCAGTCGCAGTGCTGGTTGGGGCGGCGGGAGGTGGCGGTGGGTCTGGGTGAGTGGCGGCGGGGTCTTTGAGGCCGACGACGTCGACGTCTTCAACGCCTCACGTTCGCGGGTACGGTTAACACGGCTGCGGAACACGACGTTGGCGGTGAGGTGGCGCGCGCCCTGCCGGTCCCACTTCCCGAACACCGCGTAGGACGCGTAGTTCGGGAAGGGGGAGTCGAAGAGCGCCGCGGCCTCGGGGATCGTGGTGAAGTCCTGTTCGCGGAGCCAGGTGAGGGCGTAGTCCACTGAGCCTTGGGCGACGATGTCCGTGATGTCCGGGAGGTCGGAGCGGATGTGGATGGTTTCGCGCTGGAACCACCCGACTAACCCTATTTTCGGGACTGCTCGAACAAGTGTGTTGAGGAGGGGGAGACTCAGGGAAAAATTGAGTACTCACCGATGAACGCGCCGTCGCAGCGGAGTCCCCACGTCGTGCAGTCGCGGGTGAGGCAGTGGCTGCAAGAGTCGTCTACCTCCAAGGCGTCGCTGCAAATGCCCTTCTTGGCTTTGACGCAATCGTCGCACTGAGAGACGTGAGCGCGACGCGATGATAGGTGAGAAAGACGCTTACTTCGCGATCCAATATCCAGATCGGGTCTTTGCAGGGTGGCGGCGGCAGCCACGTGATAACTTTGTCGATGAAGGTGTCGGGCACAGGGATGGGCATGGGGAAGGAAATGAGGGAGGATGAAGTGAGTGTGGAAATTTGAGGGCTGTGTGCGAGGCGGAGGAGGAGGAGGAGGAGGAGATATCGCAAAATAGCGATCGTGGGGAAGCTAGATGCAAACATAGCCACACGTGCGCAAGCAAAGCAAAACAGATGACGAGTTCGGGTCGGAAGGCGTGAATATACGTCAACCTCCGGACACCAAGACGCCACGTGAGATTAGATCAAGCCGCGGCCTCCGCTATCTTATTTCCGCAGTGGATTACATACGTGAATGTTCGGGTGCCCGCGCGCGTTATAAAGCTGGAAGGAAAGATTATGAGCGTGCTGGCGCTGCTCCTCGTCTACTTCGTTTACCTCGCCACTGCGCCCGCCTCCGCACTGCCCTCCTGCGCCTCGCCCTCCTGCGCTTGCACACCCTCCTCCGTCTCCCTCACCTCCATGTCACCCACCTCCTAAGGGTGCTTGTGCACTTTCTCCTTTTGTAGTAATGTGTGCAGTTATTGTCCTCTCCCTGAGATTTCCTTTTCATAGGGTTTGAGAAAGCCTCTAGTAAGCCTTCAGGTGTGAAAAAGGGCTACACCAAACATTAGTGTGAGTGAGAACAGATTGATATGGCTCATTGGATGTGCAATGGGATCTCAGAATAGGAAGGCTGAACAATAATAATGAACCTGTAGTAAGGATTGAAAGGGTATCGACCAGATAGGAAGTGAGAGCAAAAGCTTATGAACTTGCTAGTTGGGGTAGTAACCCCTTGGGGGTTGACGGATTCAACATTCTTTTAGGCTTTTAGCATGAGTTCTGCACATTCCTCAATGAATGGTTAGTAGTCTATTAGCTCCAGGTTAGGTTGGCAGGAATTGGTGCACTAGAGTGACAATCATATGAGTAAGTGGAGCAGGTGTCAATGTGCCCCTATATAAGAATGGAAGTCCATCGGTGTAGATCACATGCGCTCCCACCTTCGAATAAAGGGAGTGCAGCACTTGAGAGCACAGGTGTGTGTGCACTTTGTGCAGGTGCATGTGAATGTGTGGCTGTGTGCGCATATGTGCACAAGAAGTAGTTTGCCTCAAAGCCACAAGCATACAATGCCAGATGTGCACAATGATCTGATGTGGGATAAGGAACGGGAAACTCCGGACATCATATTAAAGTCACGTGGGCACTTAGGTGCCCTGGTGCAATTTAGAGTTTGCCTAGAAGCACGAAGCACACAATGTCACATGTGTACAAACAAATGGAGCAACACAACAACAAATAGGGAACACAACAATCGGAAGGTGATGAATGCACGCTTAACTGCGGACATCATGTGGCAGCCATGTGATATGACATCATGCCGTGGTGCCCGCGGTGTTCGATGCATGTGGAGGGACATTCAATGTATGCAAGGTTAGGTTAGGTTAGGAGTGACGAGGCAGCATATGGGCAGTTAGGTGTGTTACCAAGAGCGGGGGCTCACCACCAAGTGCTCAAACGTGCGGACATCCGCACTCGTGCTGTAAAGGACCTTAAGAGGTGAAATTATCACTCCATATCACACAAAAGACTAGAAATCATTAGCAGTACTGATACAAGTGATGAGGCAAACTATGTGACTACAAGAGATGAGATGCAAACTATGTAACTACATGAAGTAACCAAATCAGCCAACAAAAACTGACTAACTAACACCTACGCGTCCTCGTCATCGCGAATTGATCGCGAATCCACTGGCGCAGGCTGTCTAGGGTAGAGACGCGCGCCACGCCCGTGGCGCCGACCACATTGGTGGCGAGCAATTGGCGAAGGGGGTCGAGCGCGGAGGTGGGCGTAAGGCTCGTGGCACCTCGTCCGAGACGCTCGCATTGGAACGTGCATGCTGGAGGGACAACAGGAGCGCTGTGTCCTCTGGGGCGGGCTGATCAGGGACGTGGGTAATGACGCCGCGGTGCGTCGCGGACAGCCTGCGGGTCTTGCGGGGGGGCGCGTTGCCGCCGCCGCCGCCGCCGTGTTCGCGCTTGCGTGGCGAGGCGGTCGCGGCGGTGGAGCCGGTCGCGGCAGTCGCGGTCACAGTCGCGGCGGAGTGCGTGGAAGCGGGCGCAAGCTTGCGAGCGCGAGCGGGGGTGTGCAAGACTTTGATGCCTTTGCGAATGGTGCGGTACGACTTACGATCCTCGCGGATGCGGAGGAACCATTCGTGTTCTTCGTGTGGCTGGGGCATCGCAACCCACCACACCTTTTTGGAACCGAGCATCATCTTCTATTCTTTGTCGGGGCCGCCGTAGAAGGCGGCGGCGGCGGCGGCGGCGAGCGCGCGCGCTTGCTTGCGGTCCCACTTCGCGTACACGGGATAGGAGCGGATGTGAGGGAAGGGCGACAAGAGGAGGCTCTTGCAGCCGGGCGCGATCTCGAAGTCTTCTTCCGCGAGCCATGTGAGGATGTAGTCGATCGCGCCCTGGGCGACGATCTCGGTGGTCTTGGGGAAGTCCGCGATGACGCGGAACCCGACACCCAGGAATCACCCGACGAAGCTGACGCGCGGCACTGCCGAAATTGTCGCGCTCAGCCGGTGGGTTGGGGGAAAAACCTAACCTAAAGGAGGACTTGTTGTGGTCGCGCGCGCGGGATCGCGGGAGCGCGGGCGAGGTCGAGCGGGCGCGGACAAGGGTAGGCGCACGTGCGCGGGAGAGGGTGTCGATTAGGCGGGTACGGGTGGCGTAAGCGTGTAAGGACGGTAGTGTAGAAGCGCGAGTGTCCTCGTTGGCTCGCAGAGCGGGAGGGAAGGAAAGGCGGGGGATGACGAGGGAGCCTGAGGCAATCGCGTGCCGAGGCAGGGATGCGGAGGCGGGCATATAAACCATGTACACTAATTAGTGGCTGCGGTGATCGTATGCTAAGACGTCCGTTGCGGGTGCGCGCCGATGCTCGTAAACGGATAGGCGGAGCAGGCCATAACAGGACTTACGAATGAGCGCACAGTCACCGCGGATGCCGTAGGTGGTGCAGGAGTCCCCCGCGGACGCGCGCGTGCATTGCCGGCGCGCGCCGATGCCGTTGCCCGAGCATCCACTGATCTTGCGGTCGAGACAGTCATCGCACTGTATAGACTGAGCAGCGAAGGGACATGGGAGCGACGGACTAACCTTGGACTGCAAAGTCCAACCGAATGCGCGCGCAGGGAGGCGTCGGGTGGTTGCTCTTCTCCATCGTCGTGATGCCTACAGGGACGTTCATGGGGGGACGTCAAGCGGGCAAGAGCACGGAGTGGGGAGCTCGGGGGAGGTTGAGGTCGCGGAGGAAGCCATGGGGGATCGTCGTGTGTGGATAGCAGAGAAGAAGGAGGTGGGAACCGGAGCGGGGCGGATAGTCGAGGGCGGTGATAGTGGTGGTTGGGAGGAAAGAGCGAGGCGAGGCGAGGCGAAACGGAATGGGAAGCTGGACGGTGAGCGCGGAGCGCTAAGTGCGTTTGGCGCACAAAACGAAATACTTGGGTCACGGGGTCGTGGTGGTTTCTGAACTCGTGCCGGAATGTGCCTACGTAAGAACATTGAATGATCGGTCCTTTCCTCTCTATAACGTTAAGCGATCGGGAGGAAATGCGCGGGTGCCCGTGCTTGCATTGATAGGTCAACATGTCCGTAAGTCAACGCGTGAACCGATGGTTCGACGCGCGGATCCCCTAACGATGGCTCACGCGCGATGTAGTGATATTCTGTATCTTAGTTCAACGCGCGGATGCCCGCGCGTGAATTGATACTGCTGCAACGATGGTTGAGGAAGAAAAACAAGATTGTAATTTCAGAACTACGTGACATGTCGAGCAACAACGTATACGAGTACATCAAAAAGCGCCCACTTTTATGCGCGACATGGGTGCGGGCGTGGGGATAGCGGGCGTGGGGGCGTACAACGATGGGGGGGGCGGGGAGACGCGCGTGGGGGACGTGCGGGGACGATCGGGCGGGGAAGATGCGGGGGCGGGGGAGGGCGGGAGTGGAAAGACGGACACGTGCGCGCGGACAAGCGGGACGAGCGGGCGAGGAAGATGCGGGCGCGGAGAGACCGAGATGTACGGATGGACGCGGACAAGCGTGGGTGCAGAGACGTGGGCGCAGAGACGCGGGCGTACAAAGGCGCACCTACTCCTCACTCATGTCACCCTCGTCGTCGTCGTTTCGCGCATTGTTGACCTAAGTGTCCATGTGGTCGCCTTCTTCGGAGGATGTCGGCGTGTCGGCGAGGGACGCGCCGGGCGCGTTCTTATCCGCCCACTTAGCCAGCTTCTCCACCTCGGTGGCAAGGCCTGAGGCGTGGGACGCCAGAAGGTAAGTGATCCCCTCGAACCCCATCCAGCGGACAGCGTCTTCTGTACGTGCGGAATAGGACGGGCGTGTGGACGTAGACACGCGCGCAGAGGTGGACTGGAGAGCGGAAGAGACGAGTGCGGACCTGGACGCGCGGGTCGACGGGCGCACAGATGCGGACGCACGCGCGGAGGTCGCGGAGGTCGACGCGGGCCGCCGTTTATCGTGCGTCGTACGGTGCGGGACCGAGCGGGAAGATGCGGTGCGTGAAATGCGCCCACTTGCGACGGGGGGAGGGCGAACGGCGGCGGCAGGGACAGTGGGTGCGAGAGGAGGAACGTGCGAGGGCGCGGCTGAAGGAGTGGTGGGAGGCGCGGTGGGAGGGATGGGGTCCAAGCGGTAACTACGCCAAGACATGCCTGGCGATATGAACAACCAGTTGTGGTCATCTTCCACCTGGGGCAGCTTGATCCAGTCTTCCTGGATGCTCCCGAGGACCAACGGCTGCAGATCTTCGCGGGCCTTTTGCCTAAGGTCGCGGAACACGATGGCGGTGGCGAGGTCGCGCGCGTCCCGTCGGTCCCACTTTTCGTACACCGCGTAAGAGGGGATGTTGGGAAAAGGGCAGTTGAAGAGTGCTTCGGCCTCGGGGATGACGGTGAAGTCGAGCCCCCTGAGCCAGGTGAGAGTGTAGTCGGCGGCGCCCTGGGCAACGGCATCCAAGATGGGCGGGAGGTCAGCGCGGATGCGGATCGTTGAGTGGGCTAACCATCCCACAAATCCCGCATTCGGAACTGCCGGAGCAAGTGTGGTGAGGGAGGGTATATGGGGAGAAGAGGAGAAAAGGGACACACCGATGAACGCGCCGTCATGGCGGAGGCCCCATAACGTGCAATCGCGGTCGCAGTCGCGGCACTGGAGGCAAGGGCCCCCCATGTCCTGGATCTTGCGGCAAGTAACGTTGTCCTTAATGCAGGCGTCGCACTGATAGACGTGAGCGCAGTGCGAGGATAGCAAATGATGGGGTTTACCTCGCGGTCTGAGACCCAGGTCGGGTCTCCACAGGGCGGGGGTGGCAGCACTTCGATCTCTTCATCAACGAAGGTGTCGGGCACAGCGATGGGCATGAGGAAGAAGATATAGAGGAGGATGAGTCGGTGAAGGAACTTGGGGGCGGGGTCCTGCACGGAGGAGGGCGATAGATAGCGCGAGATAGCAGTCGCGGGGAAGCGATGTACAAACATAACCATACGCGCGCAAGCAAAGCGATACATAGCATGAGATCGGTCCACGATCGGAAGGCTGTGAAATCCCGGGTGGTCACGCGAGATTCGATCAATGCGCGGGCCCCGCGCTGTCAGATTCCCTAGGTGGACGTCCGCGCCCGCGCGTTGAACGAGTGACGATTGAGCACAGGACCACCTTGGTATATAGGGACCGATGCTATTCTTTGGTTTCCGTACGTAGCGCACACCCTCACAAACACGTGGTGTCGCTTCTTCAAAGGAGTTCGTTAGGAAAACGGGCTCGTATTCTTATAAGTACATGTCATATTGAACAACAGCATTTAAGAGTACATCAAGAAAGACGCCCGCCGCCGTGCGTGGCGTGTATGGGGGCGACTGGGACGGATGCAGGGTTGGGGACATGTAGCGATGAAGGGGTGCGGAGCAGGCGCGGGGACAAGGAGATGGACATGGGGCGGGGAGGAGCGAGGACGAGCGAGGACGAGCGGAGCGTGGAAGATGCGGGGCAGGGGCGCGCAGAGACGATGGGGGACCGGAGCGGGCGAGGAAGATGCGGGCGCGGAGAGACCGAGATGTACGGATGGACGCGGACAAGCGTGGGTGCAGAGACGTGGGCGCAGAGACGCGGGCGTACAAAGGCGCACCTACTCCTCACTCATGTCACCCTCGTCGTCGTCGTTTCGCGCATTGTTGACCTAAGTGTCCATGTGGTCGCCTTCTTCGGAGGATGTCGGCGTGTCGACACAGGTCGAGGGGGGCGCATTCTCTTCCGCCCACTTAGCCAGTCTCGACGTGGTGGTGGCGAGGCCTGAGGCGTGGAGCGCCAGCATGTTCATGATCCCCCGCAACTGCGTCCAGCGGACGGCGTCATCGGCAGCGTGGACGTAGCGGGCGGAGGCGAGAAGCTCCTCCATGTTGAGCCCTGGCAAGAGCGAGAGGTCGGGGAGAGTGGGGAGGGGGTATGAACGATCCTCGGCGGACCTGGATGAGCGCGCGGACTTCCTGGAGCGGGAGTCGTCGCGGTCGTCAGGGTCATCGAGCTTGCGCTTGCGCTTGGTGGATGGAGGTGCGGGGGAGGCGCTGCCCAAGGTGGACAAGGGCAAAGGATTGCGCTTAGGGGGCGCAGAGGTCGAAGCGCGTGCAGAGGTCGAAGCGCGTGCAGAGGTCGAAGCGCGTGCAGAGGTCGAAGCGCGTGCAGAGGTCGAAGCGCGTGCAGAGGTCGAAGCGCGTGCAGAGGTCGAAGCGCGTGCAGAGGTCGACGCCGAGTGACGTTTGCCGCGCGAGACCGAGCGGGATGATGCCGCGGACGCGCGCTGTCGGCCACTTGCGGTGCTGGCGGGGGCGGCGGGAGGGGCGGCGGGTGCGGGTGGAGGTGTGGCGACGGGGCTTCCGATCACATCCTCGCGTGCCTTTCGATAAGAAGTCCCATGCAGGATGACCTTCCAGCTGTGCTCTTCACCAACGAATGGCCCCTGTACCCATTGCTCTTGAATGCTGCCGAAGATCATGGGTGTGATAGCATCGGCAGCACGGAAAACGACGGCGGCGGCGAGGCGGCGCGCGGCGAGGCGGTCCCACTTTTCGTGCACCATGTAAGAGGTGATGTTGGGAAAGGGGCAGTCGAAGAGTACTCCGGCCTCGGGGATCTTGGTGTAATCCATCTCCCTGAACCAGGTGAGGACGAAGTCGGCTGCGCCCTGGGCGACGACGTCCGGTATGGGCGGGAGGTCATCGCGGATGTGGATGGTGTCGCGCCCAAACCAGCCGACGAAACCGACGTTCGGGACTGCCCGAGAAAGTGCAGTGAGGGGGGGGAAATCGCGCGAGAAGAATTGCGAACTCACGGATGAACGCGCCATCGCAGCGGAAGCCCCAGAGCGTGCAGTCGCGGTGGAGGCAGCGGTGGCAATGACCCTGGACCAGGGAGTCGTGGCAATGGCCCTGCTTATCCTTTACGCAGTAATCGCACTTTGAAACGTTAGTGCGGCGTGAGGATAGACGATGAAGAGGCCTACCCGGCGGTCCAAGACCCAGATCGGTTCTCCACAGGGCGGCGGCGGCAGCCATTGCACCGCCTTGACGAAGAAGCTGACGGGCACTGGGGTAGACCCGTGGATGGTGTCGGACATGTTGCGCGAGATGTTGAGGGGGTGAGGACGGCTGCGCGTGTGGGCAGAGGTGTGGGCGGGGGGTGGAGACGAAGGATGGCGATAGAGCGATCGTGGGAAGCGACGCACAACAATAATCAGGCCACAATCAGAAGGCCATGCATATACGGCTACTTCCGAAGACCGAGATGCCACGCGAGACTTCTTGACATCAGAAAATAGCGCTTTCGCGTGCCCGAGCAGTTGGCTATGTCATCTTGCAGGCCACATGCCGTCGGGCTGCCCCATTCCATGTCATACGTGTGCCGAGTGTAAAGCAAATATATGTGCAAAGCGTAAGAATAAATAATATACTATTGTGCTAGGGTGACTTCAGAAAGTAACACGTGGGTGATGCGGGGGCGAGACGGGGGTGAGGCTAACGATGCGGACGAGGTGGATACGCGGGCGTGCGGGGTAGGTGAGGGTGAGGGCGAGACGGGCGAGGGGCGGGCTAGAGGGAGACGAGCAAGAGCGAGACTGTGTGTGACGCGGCAGTAGCGCAATGGCGAGATAGGTGAGGGTAACGTGCGTACGCTGGTCGGAGGGGCCAGCGCGCACGACGAGCGCAGCGAGCGGTGGGACGCGCTCGAACTTGATGGGGGGCATGAGCATGGGCGCGCGCGCGGGAACTTCCATTGGAAAGGCGACAATGCGGAGTCAGCGGCGCGTAGGGGTGAGCGCGAGGGCCCTTGGGGTCGGTGGGGAGAAGGCAGGTCGCTCAGCGCGCGGTCAAGGGGCGTGAGCCCGTCGAGGTGGTTTGCAGAGGTCGTGTTGCGAGGGCCGCACGAGATATGAATGTTCCGCGATCGCACTTGCGTGTGAGGCCTCCTCGGCGGAGCGTGGGCGGCGTCCGGTCGTTTTTCTTAGAGGGAGAGGGAGAGGGATGTAACGCGGGGAGAGATCGGGCGCACGACGGAACTCACGCAGGGGAGACTCGTGGAGGTGTGTTCCTGTACTGGCCACCGAGAAGATCTCTCCTGCTCGAGGATGCGCCCATGGGTGGGGACGGGATGGAGTCGAGGGTATCGATGGAGAGGCGTGGATGAGCACGGAGGGGGTTTCTTCTCCATCGGGTAACTTGCAGTGTAGCAGGGAGCGGGTTGGGAGCGGGAACGACTTTCGATGCAAAGGGCGGAGGAGACGACCTGAGAGTGGACTCACCAAGGCAAAGGGAGGCCACAAGACCCTGGAAAACGGATTCGCATCCAAGGAGGTAGGCAACATGGCAATAACTACGGCGCACCGCGGCGCGCGCGATCGTTCGCACAGCATGTTCGTTTGGATGTGCTCGCGGCGGGGAGCACGTCACAGACGTGGTTCGGGCTCTGGTAGGGGTGGGCAAGGCAAGAACACGAGAGGGGCGACTCACCAGAGGGGAGCGGGCCTGTGGTAGATCGCCGCGGATCCAAGACTCTAATCTCTGTGCCGATAACGTCCGGGTGGATGCTCTCAGCGTGTTGAGTGTGTTCCAGGGGCTGCCGGGAAGGCGGGTGGTAAGGAGTGTTGTGGTCGTCGCGTGTGCAGCGCACGCGCGTAGCGGAATGGGTCAGCGCGTTCTCGGGGCGGCTGACGGGCCGGGCCGGGGAGGACCGGCCATGGACTTTGCCGGCTTAGGACTAATGAGCGCTCGCGTGGCCTGGGCGCGCGAGCGTCGATCACTCCCGTTTGGAGAGTCCCCGCATCCAGATATACTGGTGGGGGCTCGTCCGGCTTCCTCACGCATCTTGCTGCTACCCGCGCGCGTGAGGAAGCTGACCTTATCGTCTGCCAGACGCCCTACCGAGTACCGCCGCTACGTCCTTAACAAGGAGGATGGGGAGGAGGAGGGCAATGGTGCGCAGCAGTGTGGAGATTGCGGGTGTAGGCGAGATAGGCAATACACACAGAGAACAGCGAGTAACTTGCGCGAGGGTGCGAATGAGGGTGAGGGTTTATGCGGCGCCGTGGGCGAGTTCGAGGTCGGTGGTGCGGGAGAGGGCGAGGATGAAGACGTGAGGCTGCGGGCAGTGGCGCGGCGACGGGAACAACCTAAGCGCGCACAACCTGGTAGCGCACTGTGGGCGACAAAAAATCACGCGCAATGCAACAGGAAGGAGCGAGGAAGAGACCACGAACGAGGGCTGCAGCGCAGGGAGAGTGGCGCGGGAGATTCTAGCAAGACGTCGCGGTGAGATTTGCGATACGGTGATGCCGACTCGGGTAAGAGTCGACAAGGGGTGAGGGCCGAGGTCGAGTCCGTGTAGGCGTGAGACGCGGGACGTTGTGCGAGTGAACGAACACCAGGGGACAGAACATCCGAGGGTGTCGTGGAGGAGGAAGGGGACGGAATGCGCGAACGCGGAGGAGAGGAGAGGAGAGGAAGAGAAGCTAGACGTGGACGAGGGGCGCGCACGGGCGCTACGAAGGCGGTGGACGATGGACGATGGGCGACGGGCGATAGGCGACGGGCGAGGGCGATAGTCGATAGGCGGCGTGTACGATGAAGATGAGTGACGAAGACGATATGAGACGATACGAGGTCGAGTAGAGGCAAAGTCGAGGAGTGAGCACACGACGCACGCACAGAAATGCGAGGGAAATGAACTGAATAGCAACCAGTGCGAGTCGAGTCTAAATGCGGCCGGCGCGAGGGCGTGACTACGACAAAAACAAGCACCCGAAACGTATCTACAAATCTGGGTGTCATGGCAAGTGTCCGGAAAATAAGAGAAACGAGTGGCGGAGCGGGGCAACGAGCGTGGCTGACCATGGAGGCCGTGGAATGAGGGATACGAGAGGACGAAAAGGAGAAGAAAAAAGTGTGAATAGGTAGCTAAACATCAAGCCGGAACGATCGAGGGGGTCGGTGTGGCGTTCCGTAGGGACGAGGGTCGAGGATGCGAGGGACGAGGATGTGCCAGGCGCGAGGGCGCGGAGCTCGCGCGGGCGTCTGATGGACGCGTGCACGTAGTACCAGCGGCGGTGGATGCACATCAACGGCAGCAACGACGCTGCGACACGACCATGCCGGTGGAATGGCAACTTCCCCGTGCACGTCTTTTGACACATGCTAATTGTGGGGATGGTGGTGCGGCCGGGGCCTGGGGAGGCGGTGGGCGAGGCGCAGACCGTAGAGGATGAAGTGGGGGACTCACCAGAGTAGTGACGCAAGCGAGACGGGCGAGACGGGCGACGCGGATGGGGCGAAATGTGAGCGAACACAGGCGACGCGGGGGTGAACGCGGGCGACATGGGGGCAAGACGGAGGTGAAGTGGGCGACGCAGACGAAGTGGAATCGTGGGCGATATAGGCAAGGTGTGCGATGCGGGCGCGAGGCGTGCGAGGTGGTTGAGGGCGAGGGCGATGCGGGTGAGGGGAAGGGAGACACGGGCGAGGGGAAAACGGGCAAGATCGAGGTGGGTGAGGCGAGGCGGGCGAGGCAGGTGATGTGGGCAAGGGGCGAGACGGGCTAGGTGCGGGATGCGGGAGGTGCCGGCGCGAGGAGGGAGACGTGGGCGGCGCGGAAGATGCCAGCGACGCGGGCGAACGGGGGTGACGTGGTGACATGGGTGCGAGATGTGGGCGAGACGGCAGGTTCTTTTGCGTCGTACCCATCGCGCCGAGGGTGCCGTCCTGGTGGACGAAGACAGATTGTACCTGTCCGAGCGCGAGTGTGAGAGCGCGTGCGTCGGCACCGAGACCCGCGTGGGCGGGCGAGAGAACGGTGCGGGCGCATCGAGTGGGCCCCGTCGGTGCGCATCGCGCGGACGTGGGCGATGAAGTGGTGCGGGTCCGTTTGGAGGAAGAGGACTTGGAGGCGTCTTTGTGGTCTAAGTCGGAGAGGAGTCGGAGAGGGACATTGTACGTCCGGAGCGCGGATGGGGTTGACAAGGTCGCGTCTGCGCCTCCGACGCCTAGTGCACTGGGGCTGTCCGTGTCCATAGAGGACAGCGGTGTTGGCATGTGCGCGCGAGAGGACGACGTAGGACGACTCCCAGCCAGCTGCGATACCGTGTATCCTTCTGTCTCCTTCCAAAAGTCCGCCGAGTCGTCCAGCTGGTCGCGTTTCAGGCTTCTCCACAGTCCCAAAAATAATGAGGGGTGGCGAGGCCGCGACGAGAGCACATCGTGGAGGCCATGCGAGGGGATCTTGAGACCAGGAGGGAGAAGGTGGTGGCAGTCGAGGCGAAGGGAGCACAAGAGCGAGGTGAGTAATGGCGAGGCGGGTGAGTGCGCGACGGGCCAGGCGGGAAATGCGGGCAAGGCGGCGAGGCGGGCGAGACGGACGGCGCGTGTGCGAGACACCGGCGAGGTAGGCAACGTGGGCGAGGTGATCGGAAGGAGGAGAGGGAAAAGGCGCCGGCGGGGATGGCAGCGCGAGAAGATATGGAACAGACCGCGGATGCATCCGCACCTGCCGACGGGCTACTGCTGTTCCGAGTGCCCACAGCGAAAGCTGTGCCTGCTTCGTGTTTTGATGAGTAGCCTTCAGATTCAATCCCTTGCACGACTGAACACCAAAAAAGCCAATCAATAGCGGGAAAAAGAAACACACGGCTTGCCATGTAAGTAAACTGGGTACACATGAGCCTCGCGCCTGGACGCGCGCCGGAACTCAACGCGAGCAACCGCGACTGCGCGCGCCCACCCTACACGTCGCCTACGACCCCTACTTCTCGGTGTTCTTCGGCAAGTGGGTGGCCATGAAATCAGCGAGGCGGCTGAAATCTGTGGCGAGGTTGCTGACGAGCCTGTGGGCCTCGATCCACGTGGCCACATCTCCCTTGGCGTGGACGTCCTGGAGTGTCGCCATAAGCCTAAGCCCGTCGAGGACGGGGATGGTGGGAGGGACAGGGTCCGGGTCCGTCACCGATCCGGACGTCCGCGCGGCCTTCCTGGGGTTGGAGATTTCCTGCTCCTCGTCCGCCTCGTTGCCGCGGGCCGCCTGTTTGCGCTTCCGCGGATTCGATGGTCCAGCGGCGGAGGCGTTGTGCATAGCAGCTGTGCGCGATCGGGTAGTCACCGTACGCGACACGGTCTTAGCCTTGTCGGACGTCGCGCGTGACTTGCGCTTCTGGGCAGCCGAAGTGGGTGGGGCAGGAGCAGCGGGAGCGGGAGGCGCGGCGGGAGCGGGGAACGTGCGCATACCTCGGTAAGTGAGATTCCAAGGTCGTCGGCTCCAACTGTGCTCAAACTCGGATGTGGGCAGCTCATCCCACCAGCTACGTACGCTGCCGAAGACCGTTGGTTTCTTGACGTTAAGCTTGTGGAACAGAACCCGGGTGGCGTAGTCGCGCGCACCCTGTCGATCCCACTTGGTGGACGCGGTGTACGACCGCAAGTCGGGAAAGGGGCGGTCGACAGCAGGGTTGTGGCCTGGTGCGGGGTAGAGCTCTTCTTGGGTGAGCCAAGTGAGCGTGAAGTCGGCCACACCCTGCGCGATGATATGTACATGCTCGGGGAGGCCGGTGAGGATCTCGATACGGTTTTTCTCGAGCCATCCTACAAACCCGACCCTCGGCACTAAACCAAACCATGGAATTAGGGATGGGGGTAAACGCGGGATAAGGGCAACCGGACTCACCTATGAACGCGCCGTCCGCGCGGATACCATAGACGGTGCACTGCCCGACATCGCAAGTGGTGCACTGACCAGGTTGTGGGCCTTCCGTGCACGAACCAAAGCTTCCAGCGCAAATGTCGCACTGGTATTAGTCAGCACAGAGCGGGAAACGTTTGGGTGGGCACGTACGAGGCCTGCTAGCACCCAGCGACTGGGGCCGGGTGGCGGTACCCGTCCATTGACCGCGGTTGAGCTGTAGCGGAGACTTTCAGGGATAGGCAAGGGCGCGGGGGGAGGGACGACGGAAGGCGACTGGGGGTGCGAGGAGGAAGACATCGCGTGGCAGGGCGGGGACGAGTGGGCGATGGACAGCGAGGAGAGGGCGTGGCGGGAGTAGAGAGCAAAAAGAGGTTCGGGGGAAAACGACCCCAACCCAAGTTCGCCGGTTAGGCGAGGAACACGTGCACAAAGGGTCCAAGGAGAAGCGTAGCGCGAGCGTCCAAAGAATCCAAGGTGCGGCCCGACCACTCCGGGCCGTCACCACTGGTGCTTCCTCGGCCTCACCCTAACGCCCAGTGGAAGTCACGCAACATGACATTACGTGGTAATGTCTTCCGCGCGACTCTAACTCGCGTGGGTGCAGGAGCGACCTAGTACTGTCTTGGTGCGGGTGCGTGCTGCTGTGAGTCCGCCGACTCGGCATCGCGTCGAGAGTGTCGAGAGAGTGTCGTGAGATAGACGCGGGTCGAGTAGAGACGAAACACGAGAGCCTCCAGCACACGAAGATGAGTAGTGAATGGTCCGTAGCCAGAACTGTACAGTAGCTGATAACGTAAGCCAGCCTCCATCGTCTGAGTAACCACACGGAGAGATCTATCCAAGGGAGAGATCGCGAAGTGAGAAATGAAGAGGCGCCAACTATCCGGCGCGAACGGAGAAGATGGTAGCTGCGCGCGCGCACGATCGCGGATGCCTGTCGTCGTGCTTGTCTCGACGCGTGGGCCTGAGTCCGCGCTGTCCTGTCCTAGGTGCGTGAGTCCTTTACCTTACAGCTGCCGATGCGCTCGGCGAGGTAGGGTGTGTCCGCATCTGCGTCCGCCATTGTGGCCGGCATCACGCATCACTCTCCTCTGTGTCCGCAGCAGGGATAGTATAGGCTCCACGTCCTGGCATGGAAAGCACAGCGCTCGGCGCGGGTTCGGTAGAAGTTAGCCCCACCATTGCCCGCGGGGTCTGTATGCACCGCGGTGCATGTAATCACCAAACACGTCCGTCGGCCCGTCAGGTGCGCCCTACTCCTGTGAAGGATCCTACCAACACATATCGAGCCTTCGCTGACAAATTGTCAGTGTCGATGGCGCCGCGCGCGGACACATGGCACGTGCGCGCGGGCACATGGTACGTATTCGGAGCCACTGGCTTTGTGTCGACCTCTGTTTTATCGTGGTTTAAACTGGGGTTTACACAAGTTGAATCGCGCGGGCAGCGGCCCGGCACCAACCCGTACCCAACCGGACGAGCGCGGACGACGGCGCCGCTCAACGCTCACCTCCGCTTTCGACCAGCACGGACCAACGCGTTGCAGCGACATTTCGTCCTCAGAGCACGCTATGCTCACCTAGCCGCCGCGCACCACCATGTGCCTCCGAGGCGCGCGCGCGCCATGACGCGGTGCTCCCCGCTAAGTGACATAATCACCCGCCTCCTCCTCCTCCCCGCGTTCCGACGCGTCTCCGCCCCACGCCACTAGCGGTGTCACGGCATTGCTTGAGGGGCTGAAGTCACCAACCTCCTCCTCCTCCTCCACAGCCCGGGTCCACGACCCCTGACGGTCGCCCGATGAGCCTGCGGCACACGCGGCACGAGGCGCTCTCACCGGGCAGACGTCGAAGGGCGCGAGGCGGCTCCGTGCTAGCCCAACCTTTCGGTGCTGCTGCCGGATGAGCAGGTCCGGTTCCCTCGCGCTCGTCCCGTCTCAGTACTGCTGACACCTTTCCGTGCTGCTGCCACACGCGAGTCGAGGATTTTCGAGCTACCCTCCACTGTGCCCACCCAGAATCTGTTTCTTTGTATTTTCTTTCTCGTATCTATCTACGTATGTAGCCATCCGTTTGCCCCATCCGTTGGAAAACAAAATTCCAGAGCAGACGACGCTGGGCGCCCGAGTCCCGCGCTATTTCTCTTCCCTTTGCTCGCGTTCTAGTCTGCCACGTCCCGGTGAACCTCCTTCGCCTCTGCGTTAGAACAGGCCACGGGCCTACTAGTCGCTCAGCTGTCCATTCAGTGCCTAGACATACGGCGGGCTCTCTGGAGTGAGGGTATCTGAAAGGACTTAGGTTAGGAGTGGTGGAGATCGAGGTCGTGCGTGAAGACCACAAGCGGGTACGGAGAGCGCTGTGGAGCGGCCGTGTGCGCTGCTGTACTACGATGATGGAGTGTCAATCCATAAGTACTCTTGGGCGGGTCGCGATGGGTACGAGCGGAGGAATAGACGAGATGCGCGAGGGCGAGGGGGGTGAGAGTAGGGCGGCGGCGCGTGTGCTAGCGTGAACGGTGATGTGCAGTCAACTCTGCGAAGAGTCGAAAGGGATGAGGGCGAGTGAGCGAGCTCGAGTAAGCGTGAGACGCGGGAAGTCGGAGAGTGAACGAAGAGAACAGATACGACGCGCCGCGTGAGGAGCGAGCGCGAAGAGAGAATGGATCGGGGGATCGCGTGAGCGCGAGGAGGACGAGAAGGGAATAGACGCGGGGTGAAGAGACGAGATCGCGCGCACGCGCGGCGCTGGCGAAGGCGAAGGGAAGGTCGAGGTCGTGGGCGAAAGCGTGGGCGTGGGCGAAGTCGAAGGCCGCGGCGCTGGCGAAGGCGAAGGCGAAGGCGAGGTGAGCACACAGCACGCGCAGACGAAGCGGGAGAGTGAAAAACTATCCATCAATAAGCAAAACGTGAGCCTAAGTACATTCGACTCACGGGGCGAGTATGTAGACAGATCAATGTACAGTCCGAGACACGAAAATGTACGAAATCGAGACCGAGAATGAAAGGGC